GTTAATATTCTTACCCCTGCGCGTCTGAGCGGCTCCAGTGCCGCCTCCACGCACTTTGAGAAGGTCCGAGGCGCGAGCGCATAGCCGAAGGGGAGACGGCAGTACTCGTAACTCCTCTCTCCCACTGCTGCAAAGCGCAGGAACCTCCTGTGTTCCGGAATTATCGGCACGTGAAAGTAAGCGTCTGTCAGGTCTATGGAGGACATCCAATCTCCCTGCTTGACACACTCGAGGAGCTGTTTTGTGGACAGCATCCGAAACTGCCGTTTGGAAATGCACTCGTTCAGAACGCGCAGATCCAAAATGGTGCCAAAGAAGTCAGGCGGGGTGCGTCCCAAGAAGTAAGGGGAGTACAGCCCCCTGGTGGCGTCCTGTGGATCTACCTCTACTGCTGCGCCTCGACTCAGCAGAGAGGAGACCTCCGCTTGTAGTGCCACTAATGATCCCCGTACCTGAGAGCGTGCTGCCCGTACGCCTCGGAATGGTGGTGGCTTTCGGGAGAATTGCAGTGCGTAACCCCTGCGCAATGTCTTCTCCAGCCACGGATCCGTCAGTAAGCCCTGCTCCCTCCAGATGCTGTAGAAGTCTGTGAGGGGCGGAACGGGAGCTGGAACACGAGACGTCACGGCCCCGCCCTCTCCTGGTGTTCCTAGCAGGGAGGGGGGGTGAACGAAAGGGCAGGGGGGCCCCCTGCGTCATACCGTGTGCGCCGGGGGCGGTCACGTGTCCTGCAGGCCCGACGTCATAAGTACGGGTCTGCTCATACCACGTGACTCGACTGCTGCGCCCCCCCCTGGCTCTTGCCTCATGGAGGGGGGAGCGAGCCCCTGGAGTGGGAAACCCCGTGTTAGCCTTGTAGCTCAGAGGGGCTAGCACGCGTTCGGCCGAAGCACACACACCACTACTCACCAGATCCCTCCGCCTGACCTCTCTCTGGGAGGGCATAGCATGGATCAGAGGACCGGAGCTCGTAGCTCGCGTAGTGCACTGCACGCCCCTCTCTGGGGGCTGCAGGCCTAGCGAAGCAACGTTATGGGCCCGGGAAGTAACACAATCAGATTTCACATTAGACATGTTACGTACCCCCAAATGAGACTCAGACAACGAGTACTGATGAAATGCCGGTCGGCCTTTATTGAAAGAATTCTTGCCACCCCGACCTCCTCTACCATAGGGAGGCCGGCGGTGGGTGCGTTGCTCCCGCGAGCCACCCGTGGGTCTGTCTGGACCCAGGGGCCTCGTCGAGTGGGGACGATGGACCACAGAGCGCGGATACGGGTCAGGACGCCTCCCGGGCGAACGCTCTCTGCCTCTGTCCCGGCTCCGTGATGGTTGCCGGGCCTCGCGCCTCGGTGCTAGGTGCGGGGCTAGCCTAGCCGAGTCGTTGGCTGCAGACTCCAGTCTCGCCACCAGGGCCTGCATGTCCGGGCCGAAGAGGGACGTCTGGGAGACGGGCAGGTCCAGAAGCTGCCTCTTCTCCGCCTCCCTGATATTAGCCAGCCCAAGCCAAAGGTGCCTGGCCCCGACTTGGGCTGCTGCCATGGAGCGGCCGCCATCCACGGCTAGCACCTGGCACATGCGCAGGATCGCCGCCGAGGTGGTCCTCGCCTGTGATAGGAGGTCTCCACTGAGCGCCTGGCCAGAGGAGAGCGACCTATCCAGGGCCCCCGTGATGAACGCCATGTTGTTAGCCAATGCGACGACCTGAGCCGCATTGGCATGACATCTATCCAGCATAGCCAAAGACATCCTGTCCCGCTCGGAGGGAAGGAGAGGTCTGGTGCCGGGCCATGCGGACTGAGTCCTCGATGTCCGGGACACCACCGGTCCAGGACCAGTCCTGCACGCTGCAATACATGCCGTACCCCAGAGCAGGCCTCTTGGCTGCTAGGGGCTTTGGCCACTCACGTGTCGCGTAATGGACGATCGGGTCCATCCGCGGGCACAACGTGGGTTGTATCCTCCTCCTCCCTCGAGTGGTGGCGCCCACAGAGGTGAAGTCCTCCACCCTCTGGATCGGCTGCAGTGGCAGATGAGCATCCATGATGGCCGCCGCGGAGGAGTAGAGCCCAGGCATGTGGTCCAGCGGAAAGCGGTCCAGCAGAAAGCGGTCCAGCAGAAAGCGGTCCGGCTCCGGGTTCGAAACCACCTCGTCCAGGGTGAGGAGAGAGCCGTCCTCCGAAGCCTCTCCGTCTTCGCAGTCACCCCATTCCGCGGGTGGAAGGTCGAGTGGGGCCCAGTCAATCTCAGACTCCTCGTCCTGAGAGGAGTCCGGACGGGGCGCTGCAGCGGCGAGGAACGCACGCCTGCGTTCGCTCTCCTCCCTGGGGAGAGCGAGATACGAGGCGCAGCTAGCGCTCAACGCCGCATGGCCCGGGCCCAGGCACATGAAGCAGCTGGAGTGCTGGTCCGTGCGCTGGAGCCTGACTCGACACGCCGAGCAACGACGACGTCCGACGCCGGAGGGTGAAGGGGAACTCGGACGAACAACGGAAGACATCTCTCAGAATGAAGGAAGTACTGTGGTAGATCTCAATCGGCGCCAGAGTGAAAGAGGGGGCGCGGCTATGGAGCAGGGGCCTTTATAGAGGAGGGTCGCTAGTGATTGGAGCATTTTTTGTTGAGATCTCTGGCGTCTGTGACCTAGGGGTCACGTGATATCCACTAGCGACCCTCCTCTATAAAGGCCCCTGCTCCATAGCCGCGCCCCCTCTTTCACTCTGGCGCCGATTGATCTCTCTGGCGTCTGTGACCTGGGGGTCACGTGATATCCACTAGCGAAGTCCGCTAAGGAACGTAGCACCATGACGTAGAACTGCTCTTTTTGAAGTCTTGAAAAGCAACAGACTGTTACTGATCAGATTAGAGTTGAATGTATTCAATTAGAACGTTAAGTACTGCTGACAAATACAGTATGTACCTGTGTAAATAATACCTTATTTTTCATGACTCTTTACACTTCAGACACAAAAAACTAAATAATAACGCCAACCAGTTTTATTTTTTATTTCCAGGCTCTCTATGAAGGTGTCAGAGGCAGACGCCCAGGACTCTGCTGCTGCTCCTGCTGCTGCTGCTCCTGCTGCTGCTGCTCCTCCTGCTGCTCCTCGTCTTCAGAGATGCAGGTCCCACTGTTCTAACTATTCAAGACTGATGATTAAATAAAACATGAAAATATGTTTTTTGTAGTTCATATTGTTAATCCGCAGTGAAGCAGGAGGTGATGGAGGTGATGGAGGTGAAGCTGGAGAAACGATGTCGTGTGATTTTGTTGCTGTCAGAGAAAGTCTGAGTTCCATTTCACCAAAAGTCTCCGAAAAAGAACACAAACATGTTAAAACATGGACACCTCAAAATAAAATACAGAAATCCTTCCTGTATTTAATATTAGAGGTACACAGCAGGAGAAACAGACACTGAGGAGAAACAGACACTGAGGAGAAACAGAAGAATAATATACTGGAAATATACACACAAATAAAACTTAGAAGCGTGGCTAACCACTTTAAACCTTTTGGAAGTGAGACTGTCATCTGCAAATGTCCTTTATTAATAACAAAATAAGCATCTCTATAATGTGCTCTTATTTCATCATTATATTTATCAGACTATTGTATGAAAAGTGCTTAATAATAAGCCATATATATATACAGTAAATGTTAATAATTATACAGTATTCCCAGGCTTAGTATGGGATTATAAATTATATACACAATCTATTTTATATGAATACAGATACTTCGTGTTACTTGGCATACTACATGTTAGCATACTACATGTTAGCATACTAGTTACATGTTAGCATACTACATGTTAGAATACTACAGCTGCTGTCTCCATGGACTGTTTCCTCTGTGTAGCTTTAATATGTAATCTGTGGGTTTGTTTCTCCCTGTGACATTACAGATTTTGCGCAGGGAAGCATTAGCGATTGTGAAAAGTTTAAATAACTTACCAGAGACACCAACCTCCTCACTAGCCCTCCTCCATGTCACGGTGGTTATAGTCTGCAGGGCTCATGGGCTAACCACACAGCTTGTCCTCCATAGCTGTTGTGTTGTCGTCCCCCTCGGTCCTGCAGTGAAACACGTTACCACGTCCCTGTTGGAGGAGGCTCCTGATTGGTAGACGCTCGCGTCTTCTCCCGAAAAGTTCAACATTGTTCAACTCGAGCGTCAGCCGCGCGTCAAGACGCTCGAAATCTCAAAACGCGCCGCGCCAAACGCGCGAAACGCTCCTAGACGCGCGTCCCCCATGTTATGTCAATGTAAACCCGAAGCTTTGGACGCTCAAGACGCGTTTGGTCTGGCCGCACCTTTATTTATGAGGCTTAAACAGTATACCAGTGATCAATATACTGTACTTTATATTGGCACTGTTATTGACATTTTACAGACCAAGGTCCCCCAAAGCACTTTACAAAGTTCAGAGTCAGATATTGTTCCAATCATTCCACACACAGTGATGACAGAAGCGAGTCCAGAACACACTGGACCATCAGCCCCAATCAACACCATCCATTCACTCTATCATTTACATTCATACCTATTGTGCATGTTTTTTTAGTGGTAGGGGAAACCGACGCAGACACAGGGAGAACATGCAAACTCCACTCAGAAAGGCCCTGTTCCAACCGGGATTCGCACCCAGAACCTTATTACTGAGAAGCGAGAGTGCTATCCACTCAACCACCGTGCCAACTTGTATATAATAACAGCCTGATCCCGCACCTGTGAAGCTAAGCAATAGAGTTCCTGGTTTGTACTATGATGGGAGACCTCTTGGAACACCAGGTGCCACAGTGGTATGTAAGTAAGTCAGTAATCTTTATCTTATTACAGCACCTTTCACAGACCAGAAAAAGCTGATCATAAAATGTAACAAAAGGCCAAAAGAATACATGCATGTGGAAACTAGTAGAAAGAGCCAAACTGTTTGTGTGTGGTTTTAAAGTTATGTACATCATCTTTAAATGTGCATATTAGTGCATGCAGACTGACCTGCTCCAAAGGCAAAGAAGTAGGTCTGGTTGGGCTTCCTCTGCAGCAGTGCGGAGACTCGCCGGGCCATCCTCTCATTTCGTTTGTAGATGAGTTCTTGACGAAAGTAACTGTCAATCTGCTGAGCTGTCAGTCGTTCGTGAGCTGGGAGAGAGCTGTTGATGAAGTGAGGGAGCTGAGGAAGAGATAGGGTGATACATATTTTTATATATTTCTTTAATCCTTTGAGCTTCTTTGTCATGAATTGCATTAATTGTGTGTTAATTTAATCACATGCTTGGGATAGTGAGGAGGCAATGTTTGGACACAAGAGAGGCAGGAGACCGCAAGTTCCCTTTTTATTGTTGTTAATAACACTAGTTCTTGTGAGCTATCCAAAATCGTTGCTACCACCTGCATGGGATAGCCAGATCCTGTAAGACTTCCGAAGCCAAGCAGAACAGGGTATGGTTAATACTGTAATGGGAAAGTAATCACAGCACAGTATTTTGAGGTAGCACACTTGCACCTGTTGATGATAAAACTGTCCAAAAGATCATCTCCAGTCTGAGGTCCTCCACATGTAGCCTGGAGGCCTCTGGGAACACCCGGTACCACAGTGGGGTGGCTGTAAAGTGCCAAACTGTCCTTAAAACTGTCGTCCTTAGACCCCATTTACATGTAGATGCTGCGAAGCAATTTGCGAAAACGACCCTGTTTCAGATTTGAAGAGCATAGCGTCTACACTGCGACGGAAAACAATGTAGTTTTAGTGCCCGTAGTAGTGGGCAGTAGAACTATACAAGGCAACACTCAACCCCCGCCAATATAACAACTTCCTCAACAACATCCAACCCAGTCCAACCTTCAAGTTTATCTTGCAATTTCAGATTCAGATTCAGTTTATTTGCCATTTTCAGTAAAAACACCACATAGGAATACATTAGCAAAAGTCTCCAGTGTGCACAGACAAATACAGACATAAAACAACATTAAAAGACAAAAATAAAACAAATAAAACAGTAAACAAATGTCACTGTGAAATCGATCGACTAAAACAGTTTCAAAACAAGTGCAAATCATTAAAGTGCTCTGTTCACACTGATAACAGCTTGTGGATAAAAACTGTTAGCTTAACGAGATGTCCTGCATCTCAGAGAGCGATATCTTCTGCCAGAGGGAAGAAGCTGGAACAAGGCTTTCCCAGGTTGGCCAGAAGAGTCATTAACAATCCCAAGAGCTTTGTTTAAAAGTCTGGATTTATAAAGAACCTCCAGAACAGGAAGCTTACAGCCCACGGTCCTCTTTGCAGAGCGGAGCACTTTGTTTAAAGCTCTCTTTTCTTTATCTGTGATGTTTCCAAACCACACAGACACAGAACCAACAAGTAAACTCTCAATGGTGCAGCGATAAAAGTTAAGCAGAATCTTAGAGTTAGTGGTAAATTGTCTAAGTTTACGCAGAAAGTAGAGACGCTGACGAGCTTTCTTAACGACTCGGTCAGTGTTTTTAACCCATTTCAGGTTAGACAGAGTTAAACCCAGAAACTTGCACTCCTCTACGATCTGCACCTGGGAGTTGTCGATTACGACAGGCAAATGAGAACTATTGCGACTGAAGTCGTAGACCAGTTCACATGTTTTCAATGCGTTCAACTGGAGGTTGTTAGTTTGACTCCACTGAACCACATTTTGTATCTCTGCTCTATAAGAGGATTCATCAGTGTCACTGATGAGACCGATGATGGTGGTGTCATCAGCATATTTGATGATCAAGTTTGAGTCAGAGGAGGACACACAATCGTGAGTGTACAAAGTAAAAAGCAAAGGACTCAAAATACATCCCTGAGGAGAACCAGTGCTCACAGAAACAACATCAGAAAAACAGTCATTGATTTTCACTCTCTGAGATCTGTCAGTTAAAAAGCTAAAAATCCATTTACACATGGCAACACTTAAACCGAGAGACATGAGCTTTTCAATCAGTTTACCTGGGACAAGGCAGTTAAAAGCAGAGCTATAATCGATGAAAAGCATTCTCGCGACAGATTTACTAGTGTCCAAGTGACTGTAGACAGAGTTCAGAGCAAAGGAGATGGCATCCTCCACACTCCTGTTCTGTCTGTAGCAAACTGGAGCGGGTCAACACTCACAGGGATCTGGCTCTTAATGAAGTCCAGCACAAGCCGCTCAAAAGTTTTCATAAGAACAGACGTGAGGGCCACAGGAAGATAGTCATTCAGGCATGTCACAGGAGTTTTCTTAGGAACTGGAATGATGGTCGACTCTTTAAAGCAGTTCGGCACAGTACAGTTCCTTAGCGACAGGTTGAAAATGTCTGTTAGCACAGGGGCAAGTTGCTCAGAGCACAGTTTCAGGACACGAGGAGGGATGCCGTCCGGGCCTGGGGCTTTCCGGACTGTGGTCCTGGACAAGACACGCCTGACTTCCTCCTGAGTCACGGTGAAGGTACCTTGATTGAAACACTCGGGGAATACAGTAGGACAGGCATCAGCGGATTCAAAGCGACAGTAGAACGTGTTCAGCTCGTTTGGCAGAGCTTGGCCGACAGATGCAATTTTCCCAGCGCTAGGTTTCCACGATGTGATGGCTTTAATACCGTTCCACATGCGCCGAGGGTCATCTTCCTCAAAATAACACTTTAACCTGTCCCCGTAACTGCGCTTTGCAGATTTAATAGAACGTTTCAATGAGTAACAAGATAGCTTATAAGCAACTGTATCATTTGATTGAAACGCCAATGCACGCTCATGAAGTTTCAGTTTCACTTCCGTGTTCATCTAAGGGTTTTGACTAAAATGTTCTTTAATGACCTTCTGTGGGACACAGCCGTCAATACAGAAGCGTATGTATCCAGACACAGCGTCACAGAATTCATTGACGTCCTCTGACTGAAACACAGACCAGTCCGTAGCATCAAAACAACCTTGTAGCTTCATGCTAGCCTCCTCAGACCAACACTGCACAGTGCGAGAGGTTGGTTTATGTTCCCTGCTCCTCTGAGTATACGAAGGAAGAAGGAGAACAGAGGAGTGGTCAGACTTTCCAAAAGGAGGTCTGAGACTGGACCTGTAAGCTCCCTTCACGTTACTGTAGCAGTGATCCAGAACATGTGCTCCTCTTGTAGCTCGAGTCACATGTTGGTAAAAGTTCGGGAGTACAGTCTTTAAATTACATTTATTGAAATCCCCAGCAACAATGATGACTGCGTTTGGATGAGCAGACTCATGTTTGTGAAGGATCTCACTCAGATCCTGTAGGATCCGCACGTGGGTGAATGTAAACAGCACATAAAAATATCACTGAAAACTCACGGGGAAGATAAAAAGGGCGGCAGCTCAAGACCAGGCATTCCAGATTGGCAGTACATGTTTGGTTCACGATTGGAGTGTCCGTGCACCAGCGCTGATTAATTAAAAAGCACACACCTCCGCCTCTGGCCTTTCCTGTGGTCTCCTTCACTCTGTCCGCACGGTGAGCGGTGAATCCCGGGGGCTGAACAGCAGAGTCCGGGACGTTCGAGTGGAGCCACGTCTCGCTGAGACAGAACACAGCGCAGTCCCGGGCCTCGCGCTGGCTCTGGACCCGACACAGGAGCTCGTCCGTCTTGTTGGGCAGAGACTGGACGTTGGCCAGGTAGATGGAGGGCAAAGGGGTCCTGGAGGAGCGGCTACGAACGAGCAGACCGCCTCGCCTTCCCCGGTGTCTGCACCTCCTTCGCCGACTCGAGGTGCCCAGCTCCACACCGCGGAGACAACGCCGGAGACGCCCAGTCCCCTCGCTCTGTTGGCGGCCACCGCCGCGGCCCGCCTGCCGTGCTCCACCAGCCTCTCGAGTGGGACACTCGAGGAAGTTTGTGCCCCTCAGTTCAGGTAAAACGAGTGACCCGTCACGCGCGTGGTCCCGAATGTACAGAAGTGTTTGCCGATCATACTTCACAGTGGCAAGTGAATCCCAGACGAAAAACAACAAAACACAGATTGAGCGCACCAGAGCGTTCACTGCGGCGCCATGACACGGCGCCATCTTGCTAGTCCTCATGCTCTCTCTCCATCTTCTTCTTCTTCTTCTATTGAGGTTTATTGGCGGTTGGCAAACAACCTTGAGGTGCATTACCGCCACCTTCCGAAATGGAGTGTGGGCCAGGACGGCCCCTTCAGTCCTTCAGTCTTCTATATTCTAAAGAATAACCCTGCGCTTCGAAGGAAACGCAAAACTACTCTAACCCCCCCTACCGAACTACACCCACTCAATACTTCTTTTAAGGAAAATGTTCTGTTGTGCCCATTCACATAGATCTTAAGCAACTCTCTTGGTCTTCTGTATCTTACACATTCCATAAGGACATGCTCAACAGTTTCTCTGCCTCCACAGTGCTCACATTGTCCAGTCGGATGTTTTCCCATTAAACTTAATGTACCGTTCAAGTAGGTATGTCCTAATTTCAGTCGTGTTATCACGTCTTCCTCTCTCCGGCTGAATTCTCCTCCTATTACCTCTTGTCCCACTTGATGCTGCACATTAAAATAAAACCGTCCTTTATCCTCCTCCTCCCAGCTTCTCTGCCACATCTCTTTAATTCTAACTTTGATAAGACTTTTCACTTCTGCCTTGCTTATTCTAACAGGGAAATCCAGAGCCCCACTCCTTGCGCCCTGCTCTCTCTCCAAGATAGGTTACGGAAGTTTAACCATGTGCTACCTAGAAGGAGAAAAAATAAGTTAAGTTGCCCTTTATTGTACCCATCCTTCATTGCCGCTCTCTCAGGAACAGTGCCGTCAACTCACACAGAGAGTCAACTTATCGCTTCAACCTGGAGTTCTCAAAGGCCCTGAGAACTGACCTCTCCTAAAAATGAGCAGTCTGGAGGTCACAGTACTAAAAATGTGTCCTCCCATCTCAACTCTCCCATTTATAAAACATTTTTTTTCTCCTTGATCATAATTAGTTAGTTCGAACACAAATTCCCATATTTTCACATTAGGTTTGAAACGAGGTCGCATGAAATGCAGAATTATTACTTTACAAATTACAGACATGGCGCATTCAGACTAAGATCTCAGACGTCCTCTGTGATTATCACAAATTACCAGGGGTCCACAGGTATTACTAATCCCGTCCGAATAGGGCTTATGACAACAATTCAAAAACATGGTGGAGGTAGATATTTTTAAAATGGTCACATTTGTTATATGTGAACATGTCTTTTTCAATTTATAGCAACTGTAGAAATTACACAGTGGCTTTAACTAAATAATTAGGGTCTGATTTTGGAACGACTACATAGGGCTCTATGTGACGGATTGTCATTGTTGGAAAAAGGTTATTGTCACGTCTGAAATGACTGTAACAGCAAAAGCTTTGTTTACCTCAAACTTAGCAAGAGGCTACGTCATGTGCGGGTGGATGGAGGCAGGCTCACAGGCAGAGGAGCACAGATCCACTCGTTCCAATAGAGCTGACTCCACCTCTATGCACAAAATGGCTATGATTTCACATGTTTTGAGTGTTGTATGGTGTATGACCCAAATTATTAACACACATGTGTTTAGGATGGACTGTGAAAAATGAAGAAAAGCAAGATTTGGAACCTTTAAGTAACTAAGTAATCTTTATTTTCCAAATAACCAGGGACTATAAACAGAACAAGAGAATGTCTCTCCAGAATCTCAGTCATTCAAATAAGTTTATGATATCAAGTTTGCTTAGAAGGTGTTTGGTGGGTGTGGGGTCAGAGAGAGAGTGGGAAGATGTCACAGGATGTCTGTGTCAGAGCCGGAGGAGGACAGTGATAGGACGCCCTGGACACTTCTCATATCTGTCCATGTAACACCAATGCTTCATTCTTTCATTCTGTGTTTGAGTGTGGCCGTGCGTGTGTGTGTATGTGTGTTTCACACACTGTTTTCAAAACTTGACAAAAGCAAGACAGGAAACAAAACAAAAGGAGCAGAGTTACATGTATATGTTTGTGCCAGAAGTTCCTGGTATTGGTGAAGATAGATGTAAAACAACTGCAGATATGTTTTTGGTCAAGGAACAGTGTTGTAACTAATGATTTTACATCATAATATTCCTTTAAGAACTTATAATGGATGTCAGTAGAATAATAGTTTTAGCCATTTATCCTCGGAGTAAATCATTTTGGTGTACACTTCAGTGGCTTCACATTTGATGTTTCAGTGAACCTTGTGGTTCAAGTGACTTTTCAAAGCCTGCATAATGTTGTTTTGTCCTAATTTGTCTGAGATGTGCTTTGAACCCAACCCCTCTCAGTAGACATATGTCCTTCACCACAGATGGAAAGGGTGAGTTTGTCACGTATGTGTCAAGTATGAATTTGAAACTGTGAGTGAGACCAAGAATCTCACTTGCAAAATTTGTCTGTGCACACTGCAGAGATGAAGTGTATTTACCATCAGGTGTGACCTGAGGTGTCTTGCTTACTCAAGAGCATTGGATACCCAAGCCTGCATATGGTTTCACAGAGAGCTCTGCGGAGGAAGCCTAATGAAGCCTACAAACTGAGTTCTGGTCTACTCAGAGCTGAAGTATAGAGGAGCTGACCAAAGAAACAGATTATTCTGGATGATTCTGGACAAAATGGATCCCTTATATTAGTTTGTATGTCACTCCTATTTAAATTTAGATTAAAATCTTTATCAAATTGAAGAAACTGAATTAAGACAAATATTGGGACCTTCTCTTTAGTTTTTGATTTTCTATTGTGCACGGTAGGTGTGCATTTTCCAATGTGGTTTCAACTGTAAATGGAGAATACAGTTTTTTTCTCATTGACATATGTCATTCATAAGATTTTTCTTGATTTTAGGGAATTTTGAAAATATAATATAAACCGAAACATTTGTGTGGGAGTTGTTTTCGACGGTGAAAATAATGGATTGATTAAAAAGTAATACAAATCAAAATCCAGCGAAAACAATACAAAAAGTAACCAAACCGGGAACAAGGAAAAGCACTTTAACAGACTTGGAATGACAATGACGGAACCGGAAGTGAAGGAACACACAGGGTTTAATACACAAGACTAAAGAGACACAGGTCATACACATCAGGGCAGAACAGACAACAGGAAGTACAACCAAAGAAGACACAGGGATTTAACAAACTACAAAATAAAACATTAAATAAACCTAAACCATGACAGTGCAGGCATCACTGCTCCAGCAGCTCAGGGGCCCGGGGCCTGGAGTCCGGGGCCTGGGGCAGCAGAGTGAAGGTCACAAATGAAAAATCTTGACTCAGTTACATGTACAATAAAATCTAATGACAGCTCTCAAAATGATGTCTATATTTGGAAAGACTTGTGGCATGAGTTATTTATGTTCAAGCGCTCACACTATCAAGTGACTGGTGCTCAGAGGATTAAGGAGAGATGTGCTGCAGAGAAGTGATGATGGAGAAATGGCAGAAGAGTTAAGAGAGCTCTGACAGCTCCTCATCAGGACTGTCAAACATGATAACTGCCAGCATTAGAACAGTGAATACACGCACACACACACGCACACACACGCACTCACAGACACACACACAAACCACATCCGCACACACACACATGCACCCACACATGCACACACACACACACACACGCGCACACACACACACACCACATCCACACACACACACATGCACGCACACACACACAGACACGCACGCAAACACACAACAAATTAAATTGTACAGAAATTAATTTTATATTGTTAATTGTGTTGGTTCACAAGTTGATGGAACTCTACTTGGCGCTCCATATAGGTAATAAGAAAAGATAAACTTTATTGATCTCACGATGGTGAAATTTAATAATAATAATAATAATACTAATGTCCACAAAATTGGCCGATTGCAGATAATACAGTGAGTGAAGGGGCTTCCATCTTGTAGCCACCATACTTTTGAATCTAATCTAACCCTAACCCCAAGACTGAGCTGAGAGAAGACACAGACTTGTTCCTCAGTTATTTAATGAAACAAATACACTTCTTTTCCATGACACTGTGGTTCTATGATTTGTGAGTGCCTGAAAGAAAATTGTTTATGTAAGTTATACATATAAATGAATCACTTTTCTGAACAAAGATGTATCAGACTGGTGTGGACTAGTTCCTCATGACACCGTTCTGTTGACAGTTTATGAGGCCGGTACCTGGGACGTGTCGTGGTTAAAGATGATGGAGCTGAGATCGCCACAGTTGTAGTGAGTGATGAGGTCCTCCGTGGTGTAGGAGCCCTGCAGAATGCCCGCTCGGACGCCCTCGTGCTGCAGCAGTGTCTGGTTCAGAGCAAACAGCACCTGCAACAAAACCAAGTTCAGATCAGTTTGCTCACAGCGTGCAAGGGTCGGGACGTTTCAGACGGCTGGCAGGGGTCATAAAAAGCACCAGCGACACTTAAGCCTTGAGACTCATCTGTACGTCATTAAACCAGAGCAGTGCACACAAGTTCAAGCCATCAGACAAAGCAGGTCCCGTGGCCATGACCAGCCCAAATCTACGGGGAAGAGAAGTTGGATGGCACCTCCATAAGCGGGACATGTGAGTCTGTCCTGGGATCACATCTCATTCTGTTTAAAACTCTGCTTAAAAGGAGGCTGAAAAAAGACAGAAGCTTTCAAAGTGTTGCTCCTGTGTCTGCGCGTATCAGTCATAAGGATATCAGTCTGAGGGCTTGATTTATACAATTATTGTCCATCTCTGAAGTCTGAAGCACAAGATTTAGCTAATCTAGTTCATTGACCTGTTAAAGCTTGGGAACCTAATTTTGGTTGCTTTCAAAGTGTCAAATAGTGACTCATAAGGCTCTTTCTCACACGTTTGCAACATTCAGTCTTAATGCAGTGACTTAAAGAAACCAATAGTTATGTACTCCATCTTTCATAACTTTTTGACTGCTTTCATAATGCTTATGTGGTAAAATTGTAAAGACTCCAATGGTCATAGAAATGATAAGAACAATTTCCGCATTCACATGAACAATTTAAAGACAACAGTTTTACAAGCTATAGCAAATCCACAGGACATTCATTGTAACCTTGGAGGGGAAATCGATGCTAAAAATCCCCTCTTCTTGTCTGGCCTGAGTCTCATTTGACCACAAACAGCTCGAACTAAATATGATTTTGGGAAATACATCTGCAACATTTCAATCAACGCGCCCGGTATTCATGCATTTGATTTCAGCTTTAAATACTGCGACTGACATGAACGTTCTTAAACCCTAAAGCACCTCTCCAACATATGTACATAAAACTTTCCTTTCGTCTGTGCACAAGAATTTAGGCCAGACCAATGTTCCTCTTGAAAAAATACATTTACTACACAGTAAAAGCAGTACATGCTGACTGAATGAAATCCAAGGCATTTTTAACTTTTGAAGATATTTTCACACTTTTTCCAGCCGGACAGGTAAAACCCAAACCACAGAAGTGACGGCGAACCTCCCTGGAGCAGAGAATGGGGCGAGAAATGTATGAGACAAAGATTCTTTAAAAAGCTCCATAAATTTACTGCACCCATTAAAATCAAAAGTAAACCCTCTTTAGACTGGATTTATAGTGTGCAGTCACCAGCCCTACACCCCCACAGCTGCCCAGGACGTCCCATACAAGAGAGGTTCAGGTTTCTCTCTGTTATCCCACGCCACCTCAGCCAGTCTGGCATGGCGTGCTGTAGATCTCACCGGTTGTGCGCTGACTTGATTAGACCGTCATCTGAAACACGTTTGAAAAAGCCAATTATTTTCAGTAGGTGCGACACGGGGGTCAGAATCAGTGTTTGATTTGTGGAAAGACTTAAGGCCAGTACAGCTGCACCAGTGACTGACTGAGCCCCGAGTCAAAAGTCAGCCTCGTAATTCAAGGAACTGAAGTTATGTTTTCACGATCATAAATGTCCATACACTGGTATTGGATATTTAAACTCCAGCTAACCTCTGCACTAATCACACTCTCTAAGCTGAAGCTTGTGACTCTCTGTGAGGTCAAAGAGAAAGCTGCTTTTGTTTGTTCTCAACTCATTATTCTACAGTTTAGAGCATTTAATTAGACATTGCTTCATTGCATAACAATAAAAAACAAGTTCACCAAAATGTAAGGGTTTAATTTGTACTTGTCTGTGCCAATAGTTCGAGCCAAAAGTATGTGCAGGATGCTAAGGAAAAATATGTTTGGTTCCGAATGGCACCTTGGCATTAAGACAAACCGATACCATGAAAATGATTAATTTCTGTGGTGAGCCATAAAAGATACTTAGCCTGTTTGTCAAAGCTGCTCTTGGCAAACAACACTCACACACACGCATGGGCTTCAGCTTTCTGTTTCAAGCGACATTTTGAATACTGTTTTCCCCATTAAAAGATTTGAAATGGAAATCTAAGCCATTGTGGGACAGGTATTTAGTTCAAAACTGCTTTTTCTTGTTGACTACTTTCAGAGCATCCATCCCAGGTATCACGAGGCCCAGACAAAATCCTCTCAGGGTGGGGAGCTAGAATTTGAGTATCTCTGCTCTATGGCAATGGTCCTCATTTCCCCAGAATACCACCCTTTTTATGCAAAGTTTTAAGACAATTACTGTAGATCTAAGAAAAAAGCTTTACCAGCTTTATAAAAAACGGTCAGCATAAAATTCTTTCCTGGTACAGTAACTACGGTCTATCCAGTATCAAGTTATATTTCTAGTCTTTGTTTAGAACTAATTTCTCCGTAATTCAATCCACATGTAAATTCATTTTTCAACATTTCTTTAAAAAAAAAAAAATGCTTTTGTCCCATTGTATTGGCACCTGCAATAGAACAGAACTCAAACACCCCCCTCCTCCACCCAAAAAACATTTTCAGCTTCTCAACTGTTGTTAGGCTGTTTTGGCTTTTTCAATATTGTCTGTCTCTGTGGTGAAGCACATCTCTGCAGCTGTTTCCATGGCTCCTGAACTTTCTCTTGTTTGAATGAGACAGAGCGTCAATCACCGTGGAGGCCTGGCTGAAACGCAAACAGTGAGAGCATACAGAGCTATGTAAATCTGCTGTGCTCTCATGCTCAAGTGGCCCTCTCCAATGGACCGGCTCTTTTTTACTGTCCACATCATACACCAGACTAAAGCTGTGGGTCTTAGGCATGCGTGAGAAACTCTTGTAATCAAATAAAAGCTTTGGGAAGAACAAAACCAAGACTGCAGCTTTGGGTTTTGGAAGCTGCCTACCAAAAATTCATTACGTGAGGACAGGGAGAAAAACACAAAGGGGTAATCGAGAAAAACAGTTTGATGTTGTATCTTGAATGTATGTGTTTTGTGCTGATTGTTTGTAATCTTGGTAGGATTTAGGACTATCATTTTTGATTATGGATTAGTTTGTTGATTATTATTATTTTAATTGTTTATTACTAACTATTCAAATGAAATATATATTTTTCATACATTTGACCAAAGCAAATGTTGGTCAAATGTACTGTAGATACAGTCTCAGGTTTGCCCTGGTATTGCATATTCTCCCTGTGCCTGCGTAGGTTTTCCTGCGGGCTCTGGTTTCCCTACCGCTAAAAACATACACAATCTTCCAGCTCTGGCCCTGGCTAAGCCGAGCACCAACAACTGGAGATGGGTTCCCAGGCGCTACGGGTTCTATGGCGACCACTACTCCTGACGTAAGCCTACTGAGGATGAATTGCCCTATGGGAATAAATAAAGTGCACCTTTACCTTTACAAAGAATAAGCCAATTAAAGAGTTTCGAGTTTCGAGATGTGATTTGAAAATGTCCATAGACTGTCGCAGGTGAATTGGTCCCGAGTGTTCCAGAGTTTGGGAGCAGAGTGGCTGAATGCTCTAGCCTCCACCGTTGCCATTTTGACGGTGGGGACATCGAGGAGAGCAGAGAGCAGCGAGCAGCGAGCGGGGAGCAGCGAGCGGAGAGCAGCGAGCGGAGAGCAGCGAGCGGAGAGCAGCGAGCGGGGAGCAGCGAGCGGAGAGCAGCGAGCGGAGAGCAGCGAGCGGAGAGCAGCGAGCGGGGAGCAGCGAGCGGGGAGCAGCGAGCGGAGAGCAGCGAGCGGAGAGAACGAGACAGCGCGTAAGGGTGGAGCAGGTCACAGCAGGCGGCACGGTGGCTGAGTGGATAGCACTCTCGCCTCTCAGCAAGAAGGTCCTGGGTTCGAATCCCGGTTGGACCAGGGCCTTTCTGAGTGGAGTTTGCATGTTCTCCCCGTGTCTGCGTAGGTTTCCTCCGGGTGCTCCGGTTTCCCCTACCACTAAAAATATGTACAATAGGTCTGGCATGTGCTTCCTGTACTGGCACCCCCACTCCCAGAAATCACAATTGTAAACCGCTTTGAGACTCTGATGTGCAGTGAAAAGGCGGTATATAAATAAAGATTACTTACTACTACTACTACTCAGGTACGAGGGTGCCAAGTTATGGAAAGCTTTGAATGTGAGAAGGAGGAGTTTAAAATGGATTCAAATATGTGAAAACGATACTAAGTGTGTGCTTTACACTGCTCTTTGAAAACATTTTTTTTTTAATTAGCTACGGCCTATGAGTTCTTAATACAGTATAAATAAATAATAATAAATAACACATCCAGCTGCCTGAGGCCTCATCATAGTCACATACTGACTAAGCACAAACTGGTTACAGTTATACAGTTAGGAGGATGCTGAAATGTGTAGATAAATGTACAAAATATTTATTGTGTTAAATCAACAAACTTGCAAACAAACTGGGCCCTGACAAACTTTTGCTGACTCTCAAATAGTCCCTTTTCTCAAAGATGCTTTATGAATGTAGTGGACAAAATGAATGTATTTTCTAATAGTGATTGTGTGACTGTTTTGACTGAGGTCCTGCTCATCATCGATTCACTTGTTACAGTCCTTTTAGGCTTTCAGACATAATTATGGCAGCTAACATTAGATAAGGCTCCATGTGCCTGATGTGTCCAGTCAACAGTGACAAAGCAAGGCTGATTTAAGAAACAAATGCCCATAGCCCACAGTTAATGCTGCTTGGTAAAATTTCACACTAGATATTAGCGTGTTGTTGTTATTATTTCATGGATAAGTGGTCATGAAAAGGTGGAAAAGAAGGAGGCGTGCATTAGCTCATTTACTTATACCTCTTTAAATCCAAAATAATGTTACGACATGAGTGATGGTTTAGGCAGAAGTGCAGCTGGAGGAAGTGGCGAGCTCCAAGGACCAGGCACTGCACTTTGGCAAGATGTAAAAGGACAACAGGCAAGATTGTGGGTTAGCTCCCTCGTAAAAACAATCGAAAAGAGGTTAAGAAAAACAACACTGG